AGCCTCAGCCTCAGCCTGCATCAGCCTCAGCCTCAGCCTCAGTCTGCCTTCAGCCTCAGCCTGCATCCGCCTCAGCCTCAGCCTCAGCCTGTCTCAGCCTGAGCCTGCCTCAGCCTCAGCCTCAGCCTCAGCTTGCCTCAGCATCAGCCTGCCTCAGCCTCAGCCTCAGCCTGCCTCAGCCTCAGCCTCAGCCTGCTTCAGCCTCAGCCTCAGTCTGCCTTCAGCCTCGCCTCAGCCTCAGGCTGCCTCAGCCTCGGCCTGCATCAGCCTCAGCCTCAGCCTCAGCCTGCCTCAGCATCAGCCTGCATCAGCCTCAGCCTCAGCCTCAGCCTGCCTCAGCATCAGCCTGCCTCAGCCTCAGCCTCAGCCTGCCTCAGCCTCAGCCTCAGCCTGCTTCAGCCTCAGCCTCAGTCTGCCTTCAGCCTCGGCCTCAGCCTCAGCCTGCCTCAGCCTCAGCCTGCCTCAGCCTCAGCCTCAACCTTAGCCAGCCTCAGCCTCAGCCTGCCTCAGCCTCAGCCTCAGTCTGCCTTCAGCCTCGGCCTCAGCCTCAGCCTGCCTTCAGCCTCAGCCTCAGCCTGCATCAGCCTCAGCCTCAACCGCAGCCTGCCTCAGCATCAGCCTGCCTCAGCCTCAGCCTCAGCCTGCCTCAGCCTCAACCTCAGCCTGCCTCAGCCTGCCTCAGCCTGCTTCAGCCTCAGCCTCAGTCTGCCTTCAGCCTCGGCCTCAGCCTCAGCCTGCCTCAGCCCCAGCCTGCATCAGCCTCAGCCTCGGCCTCAGCCTGCCTCAGCCTCAGCCTCAACCTCAGCCTCAGCCTCAGCCTGTCTCAGCCTCAGCCTCAGCCTGCAGCCTTCAGCCTCAGCCTCAGTCTGCCTTCAGCCTCGGCCTCAGCCTCGGGCTGCCTCAGCCTCAGCCTGCAGCAGCCTCAGCCTCAGCCTCAGCCTGCCTCAGCATCAGCCTGCCTCAGCCTCAGCCTCAGCCTGCCTAAGCCTCAGCCTCAGCCTGCTCTCAGCCTCAGCCTCAGTCTGCCTTCAGCCTCAGCCTCGGCCTCAGCCTCAGCCTGCCTCAGCCTCAGCCTGCATCAGCCTCAGCCTCAGCCTCAGCCTCAGCTTGCCTCAGCATCAGCCTGCCTCAGCCTCAGCCTCAGCCTGCCTCAGCCTCAGCCTCAGCCTCAGCCTGCTTCAGCCTCAGCCTCAGTCTGCCTTCAGCCTCGGCCTCGGCCTCAGCCTGCCTCAGCCTCGGCCTGCCTCAGCCTCAGCATCAGCCTGCCTCAGCATTCAAAATGTGGCCTGGGAATCGAGTTCTGGGAACTCGAAGAACACGATGTGGCCTACAGTTGTCTCCGGGCATTCAAAATCATGCCCAGGACTGGAGTTCTGGGAATTCGAAGACCACGAAATGGCCTACACTTGGCTCCAGGCATTCAAAAGCATGCCCAGGACTGGACTTCTGGGAACTCGAAGACCACGAAGTGGCGTACAGTTGGCTCCGGGCATTCAGAATCATGCCCAGGACTGGAGTTTTGGGAACTCGAAGACCACGGAATGGCCTACAGTTGGCTCCGGGCATTCAGAATGTGGCCCGGGAATGGAGTTCTGGGACCAAGCGACTTCCGCGGATCCCTGTTCGGATGCCGCCAAGACCCCCCTGGGGAGTCATGATGCTCTCTTTTGACCTTATTAGAAACCTATCAATCTTCGCAATTAGGTAAAAAAACATATTTCGATCGATCCGACTCAAGTTCGTTGCCATTTGGCTACTCAAGGCGCGCGCCACAGATAGACACTCCCAGTATATCTATTTGTTGTCTACTGGGGCCCGGACCCCGCACCCCGGACCCCGGACCCTGGACCCCAGACTCCGGACCCTGGACCCCGGACTCCGCACCCCGCACCCCGGACCCCGGACCCCGGGCCCGGACCCCGGACCCCAGACTCCAGACCCCGTACCCGCCCGACCCCGGACCCCGGACTCTGGACCCCGGACCCTGGACCCCGGACCCCGGACCCCAGACCTCACACCCCGGCCCCCGGACTCCGGACCCATGACCCCGGACCCCAGACCCCGGACCCCGGACCCCGGACCCCGGACCCCGGACCCCGGACCCCGGACCCCGCGGGCCCGGACACCAGACCCCGGACCCCGGACCCCGGACCCCGGACCCCGGCCGGACCCGGACCCCGGACCCCGGCTGGACCCGGACCACGGACCCCGGACCCGGGCAGCCGGAGGTCCATAAGGCATTTCGCGAGGCTATTTTGAGAACGGGGAGGGTTGGCAATCTGCAGTGTTGCTTGTGAGCGGTCCATCGGTGGAGAGGTTAGGCATGTAGTTTCACAGTCTTGTTGCTTACCTGAGGACAGCCGGGTCTTCCCCTGCCTCAGCGCGTCGGTCAATTGCCGGATCGAAGACATGTGCACGTTGCACATGTCGGGCGAGTTCTGCGTCGAGCCCCCCCCAGGCTTCTTGCCCGCGGTAAGCGAGCTGAGCGGGGTCGCCAGCGACAGCGGCGGCCAGGGCCCCAGGAAACAAGGATGTTGACTGACAGGATTATCGGGACTCCCAGAAACAAGGTGCAGCACCAGGTCAAACCGTGCTCCGTTGTACACACCGCTTCCTGGAGACACGACTGCACAAACCCTCCAAGGCCTCAGTTCGGGGCGAACGAGCGTGGACAGGGGTGGCGGGGTTGGAGCTTGCCGCCCGCGTTGCTTGTGGTTCCCTCTCCGCCTTGTCAGCCACTCCTTCCTGTTCCTATTTCCGAGATCGCGATTGGCCCGTGCAGGCATTGATTGCGGAAAGTTGTCAAGCAACACGGGAGGAGAAAGGACGATGAGGAGGGCGAGGAGGAGGGGAGGAGGAGGAGAAATCGAAGGAGGAGCAGGGAAGAGAGAGAGAGAGAGAGAGAGAGAGGGAGAGTGGAGACGGGAGGTGGAAGGAAGCTTTTTCGATGCGCATTGCACATCTTTATGTAATTTGGGCACTGTTCGGGCTTTCTTCTCTCTCTCTCTCTCTTGAGGTCATCCTGGGGCGTCTTGACACCCTCTTAGGGCCCTCTTTGGCCGTTTTGGGACGTCCCTGCGCCCTCTGGCAGCTTGGGCCCTCCGGCCGGGGCCCCAGACTCAGCTGTTGGTCGACCGATTCGTTGGTTGGACGGCTGCTTCGCTGGCTGGCTGGCTGATGGGTTGGTGAGTTGGTTGGCTGGCTGGTTTGGTCTGTCGGGTGGTCGGGCATGAAACCATATCGCATAAGTCTGAAACCCAACGTCTTATGTTGTATAGCTCCAGATCTAACAGCTTAACCTGACCCTGGGCACACGCCCTAGCCAGAAACCCTACTGAACCCTAACGCGCTGACCCTAAAATCCGAACCCTGACCATAAACATTCAACTCAACCAAGCACCCGAAGCCCGAAACCCTAACCCTGAGACCCTAACCCTAAGACCCGAACCCAAACAAACCGAATAATTACCTGAAGCCTAATATCCTACCCCTGAAGACTTCAACCCTAAGACCCTAACCCTGAAAATCTAACCTGGGGACCCTAACCCTGATATCCTAACCCTCATACCTTAACCCTATACCCTAACCCGAAGACCCTAGCCCGAAAGACCCTAAGCCGACGACCCTAATCCCGAGACCTCCACCGTATGATTCCAATCCTAGATCTTAGCCCTAGCAACAGACCCTGACCCGAATACCAGAACCCTACAGACCTTAACCCTCATACCCTCGCTTAAGACCCTGGCCCCAGGGCCCTAACGGAATACCCTGACCCAGAGACCCAGAGACCCCGATTCTAGTGCTTTGAACGTAGGACCCTAATACTAAAAACACAAACCTTAACTACCGTAGACCTACGGCCCCAATAGTTAAGAGCTTATAAAGATTTAAGCCCTGAGATCCCTTAAGTCGCCCCTTCGGCCGCCCCTCATGCCCCCCCCAACCTTCCCTTGCAAAACGTTTTTTGTTGCCAAAGCGGCCCGAATCCATTGCAAAGATATGGTTCCCCGTGCATGCGGCCAGAATGCAACGTGCAAAATATTTCGCGGCGCAGAGGCGCCTCCAATTCGTGGGGGCACCAAACAAAAATACCATCCCGTGCACGTCTGCGCGTGTTTGTGCCCCAGGCGCTCCCAGGCGTTCCCCAGGCGTTCCCAGGCGCGCCCCTAGGCGTTCCCCAGGCGTTCCCAGGCGCGGCCCAGGCGCAGCCCAGGCGCTGCTCTTGGGGCCGCGAGGCGTCCCCAGGCGCTCCAGGCGCTCCTATGCCCCCCCCCAGGAGCTCCCAAGCGCTGCCAAACGTGGGCCTGAGGCGCTCCCATGCGCTCCCCAGGCGCTCCCCCGCGTTGTTAGGCGCCTCCAGGCGCTTTCAAGCGCTTCCAGGCGCTCCCAGGAGCCCCCAGGCGTTCCCAGGAGCTGCCCAAGCGTTCCCAGGCGTCACCAGGCGCTCCCCAGACGCTCCAGGCGCTCCTAGGTGCTCCCCAGGCGCCCCCAAGTATTGCCAAACGTGACCCACAGGCGCACCCAAGCGCTCCCAGGGGTTCCCAGACGTTCCCCGGCGCCACGAGGCGCATCGAAGCGCCTTCAGGCGCTGCTCCTGGGGCTGCCAGGCGTCCCCGGGCGCCGCCTGACGTTCCCCAGGCGCTCCAGGCGCTCCAAAGCGTTCCCCAGGCGCTCCCAAGCGATGCGAAACGTGAGCCGCAGGCACTCCCAAGCGCTCCCCAGACCCTCCCAGGCGTTGCCAAGCGCCTCCAAGCGCCCCGAGACGCATCGCCAGGCTCAGCCTTTAGCGACAGGCCAAGCTGCGCAGCGCATCGCCAATGCGTTGCTGGTCGCTTCGACCCCGTGCCGCGCCGCCGCTGCATCGGATTGAAGCGCTGCGTGAGCACTGCGCATGACGCGTCGCGCTGACGCCGTCTTGACCCAATGCCAAGAATATCGCCGTCGTCGTCGACGCGTTGAAGTCTATATGTCGTGGGCCATGGGTGGGTGGGATACGTCCAACGGGCTTCGAGTGGGGCTGTGGCCAACCCGAATACTTGAGCCTGGAGAGAACCCAGCCCTACCGACCCTAACCTTAAGATTTAGCCTGAATAGCATAAGCCTAGGACCCGCACCCTGGACTTTAACACTTAGGCGCCGACCCTGAGGCCGTAACCCCAGGACCTTGCCCCCGGTACCCTAGCCGTGATACTTCTACCTTAGGACCCGCGCCCCAAAACCCTAACTCGCAGACCCTGACCCGGAGACCTTAATTCTAATACCCGAATCCTACGACACTAACCCTGGGACTCCCATTCGAACGGCCTGACCGTCCTAACCCTAAGACCTCAACCCTCTGACAATAACATTAAATTCATTTACCACGATTTCCTTAACCATGAGACCCTGACCCTGAGACCCTAACCTTCAATGCCCAGTTTAAGACACTGATCCTAAGACCCCAACCATAAACACCCGAACCTTAGTATTTTCGCACTAAGACCCAGACCTTATACCCGAACCTTGAAGCCCTGACCCTAAGACCCAAATCCTGGGACCCTGGCCGGAAGACCACAGCAAATACGTTAACCCAAACGCCCCTCTCACTAAGGCCCTGACCTGAAAGCCCTGCCACAAAGACCATAGCTGGAAAAACCTTAATCCTAAGACCTTAACCCTAAGCCAATAACCCTCATACCCTGATCCTAAGACCCCAACCTTGAGACCCTAACCCGAAGACCTTGGCCCGAAGCCCCACGCGCGAAAGGCTGTCACCCGAAGACCATAACCCTAAGGCCCGAGCCCTGAATGCCCGAGCCCTGAGGCCCCACTCGTAAGGGCCTGACCAGAATACCTGAACCATAAAGACCCAGGGGGGCCCAGCGAAGGCCGCGCTGTGGAAACATGGCAAGCAAGGAAGTTTTCCCAGAGGCTTGGCAACATCGTAATACTTCAGCGCAGGAAGTAAGCACACGCGTAGTTGAAACCCATAAGATAGAGATAGGGTGTTGAACACCTGATAAGTAAGGTAACGCCCGAGGTAAAGTTTAATTGGGAAGTATGCGCCGACAGAGCATGCGCCCTTCGATGCATTTGCCCGTATGGGGCCTCTCTTGCGGACTCTGGGCCCCTCTCTTAGAGCCTCCCGTGTGCTCCCTGGCACCTCTTGGGGGCTATCTTGTGACCTTTTGGGTTGTTGTGGCGCCGCCATCGGGCTATCCGCGAGCATCTTCGGCGCCCGGGCACGTTTTTGGCATTCCGCCAGCCATCCGAATGCGAACAGTGAAGGGCAGTCAGGGGCAGCGAGTGAACACCAGGGAAAATGAAGGAAAGGGAAGGGGGGGCAAGCGACGGAAAGTGAAAGAAGGTGAAGGAAAGGATGTTCGGGAAATTAAAGGGAAGTGAAGGAAGTCAGGGAATGTGAGGGCACGTGATGGAAGGAAAGTGATGGACATTTAGTAGCATTGAGGGACATGATAGAACTTGAGGCGAAGGGTCGGAAAGTGATGGGGGGGAGGGCGAGGGAAAGCGAGGGGAAGGGAAGTGAGTGGAAGCGAGGGAAAGCGAGGGGAAGTGAAAGAAAGGAAAGCCAGGGAAAGCGAGGGGCAGTGTGGGGATGCCAAGGAAAGTCACGGAAAGTGAGGGAAAGAGAAGTGATGGAAAGTCAGGGAGAGCGAGTGGAAGTAAAGGCGAGTGGGGGAATATAAGGGGGATGAAGAATGGGGCGCGAGGGAAAGTGAGGGAGAGCAAGGGGGGCCAAAGGAACGCGCGGGAGGGGGAAGCGATCGAAAGTCAAAACAAGTGAGGGAACGTGAAGGAAAGGGGCGCGAGGGAAAGTTGGGGAAAGTAAGGGGCAGGGAAGTAAGGGAACGGGATAGAAAGACAAGCGAGGGGAAAGTGAGGGAAAGCGAGGGAGTGTGAAGGAACGCGAAGGAAAAGAAAGTTTGGGAACGTCCGGGAAAGTGAGGCGTGGTGAGGAAACGTGAGGGGAAGTAATGGGCCGGGAAGTCATGGGACGTGAAGGAACGTGAAGGAGAGTCAGGGGAAGTGAGGGAAAGGGAAGTGAGGGGGCGCGAAGGGCAGTGGGGGAAAGGGAAGTGAGGGAAAGTGAGGAAAAGGGGAGGGAAGCTTAGGAAAGTGACGGAAAGTCAGAAAGGGAGGGGAAGTGAATGGAAGTGCATGGAGGGAGAGTGCGGGAAATTAACGGAAAGTGGAGCGGGGGAAGTGATGGAAAGGGATGTGGTGGAAAGTGCGGGGAAGTGGTGGAAAATCAGTGGGCGCCAGGGGAAGTGCAGGGGAGTCATGGCAAACGAAGGGGACGGAACGTCAGGGAAAGTGAGGGGAAGTGAGGGAAAGCCAAGTCAGAGGAAGTGATTGCATGTGAGGGGGAGGGAAGCCGAGGGAAAGTGTGGGGAAGTGATGGAAAGGGAAGTGAGGGAAGGTGCGGGAAAGGAAAGTGAAGGGAAATGTTGGCAAGTGAGGAGAGGTCATGGAAGGTGAAGGGAAGCGGGGGGCAGCGAGGGAAAG